GCCTGCCTCGCCCGTTTTTGCTTGGACGTTCTATCGCGTTGACTTTTGCCGAAGTCTTTTTATCTGGTATTGCGGTTGTACCAGACTTTGTTTTAGCACGGGCGCCATCCTCCTCCACCCGAATGTGCTAGTGTACCCTCTCCATTAAGGCTTCCATTGTGAGGGGGGGCGTCATGGTAATTGAGTCCCTCAGCCTGTTTCCGACTGGAAGACCTCTTTTGTATTACGCGATGGCGAGATTTGTGGGGCCAGATTCGTGGGGCAATCTCTTATCTGGTTGAAGGTCTCCCAATAATGACTGTTGTAGGATCTCAACGTCTCCTTGTCGCCCATGTCAATGGAGAGTAGCTGATCGATCTTTACTGGTGTCTTGGTGTTTGTTCTGAACCTTGTCACGAACGCCTCCGCTAATTGCGCCCATGAGGCTATGCTGCCTTCTGGTAGCCTTTCGAACCAGGTTAAACCTAGGTCACGAAGGTTGGATGGGAATAGGATGCACATCAAAGCCTCGTTCCGCCGGTATACTGCCATGACCTGGCGAAAGTGGCTTAGGTGCATGTAGGGGTCTCTCTTCCCCTCGTAAGTCGTAAATTTAGGCTGGCTGAAGCCTGAAGGTAAGGGTGCGTTCTTAATCACCAGAACGAACGGTGAGCTATGTAGCCTTGCCAATGTTTTATCTGTTGGCTCATAAGCAAGGTGCGGTATTGGCATTCCTACCTCGACGCTTCCATGCGTCCGAGGAGCCAACCGCTGAAGGGCTGAAATTCTGTGTGGGTCGCGTGCCCTGGCATCCTCCTTCCGTCGTGCCTTTTCTTCAAGCACAGTCCGTAAGTCGGACGATCTAGGCAACTTCGTTTGCCTGGATGATGTCTGGTGCGTATGTGAGAGCCGATAGGTGCTTTCCTCAGTGTAAAACCTCAATGATCTCGTTCTCTCAGACCTGGAGTGACGAGTTCTAGAAGCCCTTGATTGAGTGTCACCTGTCCTGAGGCTCCTACTCTCAGTTTGCGATGGCGTGGCATGCCTACCACGATCTTCTGAGTGGCGAGAAGGCGTATTGCTTTTGCGTCCCTCTCCTGTCGCCACCCCTTTCCCTTTTATCTAGCGCTTCATTAATTCAATGTCTGCCGCCATCTTCCTGATTAACTCGTCCTGCTCCTTTACCCGATCCTCCAAAACTTGAGGGTCGATCCTCCAAAACTTGAGGGTCGATCCTCCGCCTCTGTCTATTAGGACTTGATAAGCGACGGGGGCTGTTACCCCGCCTCCCTCTTGCATCCCTCCAGGGATTCTGTCTCTGGGGCTCTAGATCTGCCATGGGAGGGATGGAAGGCAAACCTTTGCGCCTCCCACCTCCCTCTGAGGTTTGCCTGTCAATGGCGGACTGCAGCAAATCTTCATTGTGCGTCATTGCGTCTAATCTAGCGAGGAAAACTTTGATCAAGAAGTTTTGTTCTTTCTGTGATTCCCACAGACGACGCCAATTGTATGAGCAAGAAATAATCTTCTCGTATAACCCTATTGATCAAGTCCGCGCTCCTCCAAACGTCGTCGTTTTACTCCCTGAAAACACAAACGTGAGTTAGCCAGCGGGTGTGTGCCGGATACCTCTCTGATGCCTAGGTCAGCAAAATAGACAAATAGACAAAAGTTCTGTGTATTTGAGAATCAAAGTTGTGTTACCTCTCCATAGGTGATGTTGTGAGCTTTTATAGGTTCCGTGTGGCACAATCCATGTAGGACTCTTACCCCTCCATGTAGAGTCCTTCTAGGAATCACCTTCTTGAAAGATAATGCTTATCCATCAACACCCCCTTCACTGCTTAAACCAAGTGAGATGGTTCTACCACGGTTGGATGTCAATACGACCGAGATAACATGGTCATGCTAAAGCCGCAGACTAGACCGAGCTTCCACTAGCTCGGTTCTTCCTTTCACTGCGTGTACCTCGGTTTGACATATTCCAACATCTGAGACCGCACTAATCACATCGAGCTTGGACTAAGCTACCCAATAGCAAGGTTCTGAGGAAAGCTCAACATACTTCGGCTCAATATGGTATGACCGAGCTAACTGTTATCGTTCTGAGTGTGGTGACCGAGCTAACTGCAGAGCTTTCTTGGACCGGGCTAACTTTTAGGCCCTTTTCCTCAGCCCTTCTTACCGTGGTCTACAAAATGGCCAATTACCCAGCTCGGCTCAATTTACACATAAATTACCCTCTCAAAAATTATTCATATGACTTGTGTACTATGCTGTGCAAGATGAAAATAATATTCTATATAACAATATTATTATGTGATAATATTATCATTTAAATTTAATTTTTATAAAATAGTGAATATTTATTTATTTTATTTTTTACTGTGATGGAGGCCGAAGTCAAAATTTTATTTTATTTATTTTACACGTAAAATCATATCACATTATCCATTAATATTTATATTAATATTAAATTATATATATATATATATATATATTAGGGGTGAAAGAATAACCGGAAGGACCGACCAAACTGACCGAACCGAACGGTTTTCGGTCGGTGTTTTAAGTTTTCAATCGTTCAGTTCGGTTCGGTTTATGTTTTTCTGTACATTCGGTTCGGTTTACGGTTTTTGATTTTTTGAACTGAACCGCACCGAACCGAATCGAATTATATAATATTAATAGACCCAAAATGTGAGGCCCCAAACCTATGTAGGAATTACATGGCCTGAGCCCAAATTTTATGCAAAATGGATAGAAATATAGGCCCAAAATGTGAGGCCCAACTAGGGAAAAAAAAAGGCCAAAAAATCAAAAAATAGAAAAAATCGCACCGCACCGTAATAAACCGAACCGCACCGGTATATGTTATTTTTCTGGGCGGTTCGGTTCACAAATATGAAAAATCGAAATGATCGGTTCGGTGCAAAACTAGTGAAAAAATCGACCGAACCGAATCGATTTCACCCATAATATATATATTATTTGAAAAATAGTTGAGACTATTAAAAGAGTCAATCGCGCTACGTAGCTCAAATGGGAAGCCTCCCAAATCGCCCGAAATCCCAAAACGACGTCGTTTTGGGATTAATTTTCCCCCCCCCTTTTTCCCTTCCGGTTTGTCTAAAGAAGATGAAGATGCAGAAGAAGAAGAAGAAGAAGAAGAACATCATCATCATCAACAACATCTTCTTCATTACATCATCACCAGCCAACATTCTTTTTCCCCTCTTCAGATCTGGATCTACTAAGAAAAAAAAAAAAATCAACAACAAAATCTTCATCAAAAACAACAGCATCTTCATTAGCATCACCATCATCAATACATCATCTTCATCTTCAGAGCCAGAAAAAAAAAAAAAAAAAAGAGAGAGATAAAAAGAGAGAAAATAGAAATCCATCGGGTCACCGTCGTCGCACCCTCCATCACCGTCCACCGTCACCTTACCCTGCCATCGCCGTCGCCTCTTTCTCTCTGTTTCCCTCTCTCCTCTCCTCTCCTCCTCTCTGTTTCTCCCTCTCTCCTCTGTTTCTCTCTCTCTCCCCTTCTGTTCAGATATAAACGAGAAAAAAAAAAGTTCAAAATCAAAATGATGTCGTTTCATCAATTTGGGCGATTCAAGGGAAAATTTTTCGAGCTATAAAATATTTCTGTAAAAGAGTAGCACTAGTAGGATGGGATGTTGATATGGATCCCACAGGATGGAATGTTTTGCTCTTGGATATGTATATTTATTTTTTTATTTTCAAATTCATTAGAATTAATTTAGGCCAAGTTTGGGAAGACTAAGGCCTCGTTTGGGAACAAACTAATTTAGTAACTTTTTGGCTAATTGGCTAAAAAGGTAGGTAAGAAAAACTTGTATGTTTGGGATGACTTTTTGACTAATTACGAAAAGCTGTGCAAAAAGTAGAGAGAAGCCGTAATTGTTGACTTTTTGGTATCCCACAGGATGGAATGTTTTGCTCTTGGATATGTATATTTATTTTTTTATTTTCAAATTCATTAGAATTAATTTAGGCCAAGTTTGGGAAAACTAAATAAGTGCACTTTTTGACTTTTTTTTGTATTATGTATAGAAAAAATAGAGAGGAGATGTTGATTGATGTGACCCAAAAAAGATAAAAAGATCAAATAAGTGCACTTTTTTAAGTTAGCCAAACTTGACCTTAATGGTGCAAAATTAATAAGACCAAACAGTGCGGATATTATTTTGGGTGACGTGTCAAATGACTATTGACAAAGACAAAAAGATGCTCTCCTTCGGTTTCAGCCGACTCAACCGTCCCCCAGCCGACCACTGGTACTTCAATCACGACTCCTCTGCACGTTCTCACCAACTAACTCAGCTGATTCCTATTTTCAAACTCACCCAACTGTTCCCAAACACCCCCCACGACCCGCCTATCCCAAACCTCCATCAACACAATCAACCCCTTATTACCTGTCACATTCTTATACGCTGCAGTCTGACACTTGTCAAGTTTAACATAACCTAAATAATATAAAAAATCAAAAATTACTATCTTTTTTAAGTTACATTATCTTATTTAAATCACATCACCTCTCTAACACATCACATCAAATCTAACCTAACCCCAACCTATATAAGCCAATAAGTCAAAAAGTGTACTTTTTTAGAACATCTCAAACCAATCCTTAGGTTAAGTTTGGCTATCCTAAATAAGTACACATTTTTATCTTTTTATCTTTTTTTTTCATCACATCATCTCTCTACTTTTCTGTACATATTTTCATAAAAAAATAAAAAATATACTTATTTAAGTCATCCCAAACAACCTCTTAACAAACCCAATGCCAAGTATTAATAAAGAATTTTTTATGAAAATAATCATGAAATATTTGTAATTCTTAAATTATAATTAAAATAAAACACCACACAATAATTAAAATAATCCAAAAATTATAATTTTTTCATGATATTTTCATGAAAAAAATTTCATAACACCTGATTTTTCTCGTTTATTTAGCAATATCCCCGCGTAAAAATGTCCCATAACGCGTACCTTAACGCAAGCACACACCTCACGATCCCGTGGCACGACACCACCGGCCGTGTTGACATCGAGACTCTCGTCCTCCGAGAATCTTCCAGAACCTTCTCGAAGCCGTCCACCTTCGTTGTATACTGCAGCACAGACAACAAAGGAGATTTGGAGAGCAAAATCTAGAGAGAGAGAGAGAGTGAGAGTGAAAATGGGGGTTGATTACTACAATGTATTGAAAGTGGGTCGAAAAGCGAGCAATGAAGATTTGAAGAAAGCTTACAAGAGATTGGCGATGAAATGGCACCCAGATAAGAACTCTTCTTCTGCGGAAGCTGAGGCCAAGTTCAAGCAGATCTCTGAAGCCTATGATGTTCTCAGCGACCCTCACAAGCGTCAGATCTACGATCTCTATGGCGAGGAAGCTCTCAATTCCGGCCTATTCCCTCCTCCGAATGGGTTCAATTCTCGCGATGCGGAAGATATATTTGCGGATTTCTTTGGTGGATCTGATCATGGTTATGGTGGTAAGAATTCGAATGGGGGTTTTGGAGATCGGACGATTCGGAAAGGGGCTGCCGTGGAGAACAAGTTGGCGTGTAGCTTGGAGGAGCTTTACATGGGATCGAAGAGGAAAATGAAGATTTCTCGGATTGTTCCTGATGAATCTGGGTACGCAATTTTACATCTTTATAATTGTTTATGTACGATTTTGTATTTTCTTGTTTTGAATTTAATCGGAAACACAATTAGGTGGTTATTATGACTGATTATATTATTCATCAATCTTCTAGGCCTGGGCTATATTGACTAGTCAGTGATCTTGCATTTCCAGCAATCACAATTCACAAATATAATACAATTTTGTAGTTATTGTTTATTGAATTATATATGTTTGGCTAAGCATGATTAGAAATTTACGACTACACAGATGCTCTATAGAGTCTTGTTTTCTTTGGGACATTTGACTTGTTTCTTATAATTTTCATCATAATCATATTCCTTCATTTTGTAAGGAATCAAAGACTTTAGAAACTTATTAAAATGGTTACCTAAACAGAGGTATGTGTTCAGGAATTTTTTTAAAACAGTTTGGCAAATGGGTTTTCTTTATTTTAGAACAAAAATCAGTTTTCAATAACAATACCCAAGTAGACTGTGTTTGGCAGACTTTTAAAAACAATTTTTTCTTCTCGGAGTTGCGAATTAACAAGAAAAATGCACGCTTAGTTTAGTCACCATAGAATGATAGATTGGGTATGGACCTAGCTTTGACATTATTGCACCAAGTCCCTTTGATTCTAACCTACTACTTCAAGATTGGTAAACAAGAGTTTGGCTCATTCTAAGAACTGTTTAGAAAACTGAATTTAAAAATAACTAGTAGGAAAGACGACAATGTATAAGTAAAATTAAGGAGCGTGGTTTTTGTTGGAAATTTGAACTCCTGAACATAGGTGGAAGAAAACACAAACCAAGAGTAAAAAAAGTGGAGAAATTATGTGGTTTGTCAATATCTTGTCTATGCTTCTGTCCACAGTCGAGAGAGATTATCAGCTATAACCGTAGAGATTTTTCAAATATGTGACAAAAAAAATCCTATTATCAGAAACCAATACCTGAGCTGTGAAACATTCTCTGTTTTCCTACTTAAGAGTGTTGTCGTTTGGCTAGAACTTTTTTAATTGACTTTTTTGAGTTGGAATTTTTTTAGCTTGGAAATAAAAAGTTTGTTTTGGTTGGCTTTTTTGACTTTTGTGAAACAAAAGTGAAATGATTATAATTTAAATGTGACATTTTATTTTATTGGTTTATTTTGTTTATTTTATCTTTTATACATTTTTAGTACCAACTTTTTTTGCCAAACGATTAGTAAATCTTCAAACTACACCTTGATGTCCTTAAGCATCCTACTTACTAGCATTTTTTCCTTTTTTGGTCTCCCCTATGATATACAAATAATCTCAATCTCTCTAACCACTACCACTGGCCTCTTCTTTATAGGAAAAATCCCATAAATCCTTGCACATATTGGATACCCTACTGAGTTTTGGACCCTACAACCTGACCCAAACACATTTAGTAGCCCAATAATTGTCTGGGTCAGCAAAATACAAAACACATACCCAACAGATTTAGCATCACTTATGCTTTCCTTTTGGCGGTGTTGTTTGCTATATGGGTTATTGGGGACTATATTCAATGATTAAATTCCCCATGACTAAGAGAATATGGTTCCTTGCTTGGTTATAGTATGCGTCATCATCCAGTTATTCGCAACTTGGCACTTAATGGATCATGTTAAAAATTTGAAGAGTGTCTTAGGAACTCTGTGTAGGTTACATAATAGGAATGTGAATAATTTTTGGTGGAGCTTAATTAGTTGTTAAATTAAATTCGGATCATGTCGCAATTAATTCTATTTTCATTTTTGTTCATCCATTTTATAATTCTGCATTCTTTTCTTTAATTTATTTTAGCTTGATCCGTGATTTAACTCTTGCAGAAAACCTAACAACGTTGAGGAGATCTTGAAAATATCAATCAAACCTGGTTGGAAAAAGGGCACAAGAATCACTTTCCCTGAGAAGGGCAGCCAAGAGCAGCCCAGGATCACCCCTGGAGATCTTATATTTGTAGTAGACGAGAAACCTCATGCTGTTTTCAATAGGGATGGAAATGATCTGATTGTCAATCAGAGCATATCTTTGTTGGAGGCTCTTACAGGGAAGACTCTTGATCTAACTACCCTTGATGGAAGGAATATAACTGTCCTGATTACGGATATTATCAAACCGAGCCATGAAGTGGTGATCCCAAATGAAGGAATGCCCATGTCAAAAGAACCCGGAAAGAAAGGAAACTTGAGGATTAAGTTTGATGTTAAATTCCCGACAAGCCTCGCTGAAGAACAAAAATCTGATCTGAAGAGGGTGCTGGGAGGGAATGAGGGTTGAAGATTATCATTAACACTGACAGTTTAAGTGCAATTGGATGTAAATATGTAACATATTCATCATTATGGAGAAAAATATGTGCATAGTAGGAATATAGATTCAAGTGTTATTGGCTTTGTGAAAAACAAAGCTCGTTTAGCTACTTAGCCACAGGGTAGTAACTTTGATCTTCCATGTGAAATTTGTAAGTAATTATTGATGGTCCTTGCATTTGGATTAAAATGATAAAAAGTTGTGTTCCTTTTGTTTGTTGTAATTATTCTTTGTACAGAACTCTGCGCTAGATACTGTTAATGTATGTATTTAGTTTTGGTAACAGTGTGGGTTGATGCAATCAGTTAAGCGCTCTCTATCTTTATGTTGTAGTTTTGAGGTTTGAATTGAACTTGCATTGGTTGAGATTTTAGTTTGTCAGACTACGTGGATAAAGTTGATTTTCGCGTTATGACAAGGTCAAGCCTTCTCATTTTATGAACACTTTTCTGAGTATTTTATTTTTTGATTCATACTTTTCTGAGTATTTTAAACTGATGAAAACACTTACAATGTTGGGGGTTTATAAGGACAGAACAGAATAGGTACACAACTTTATGACCAACAGGTGGATCGCAGGACTTTTAAAAAGTTTAGATTCACCTGATCAGAAGAGTGATGGGTGTGCCTACTGTCCTTACAGGATGTGTATGCAAACACTTTATTCTCTACAAGTCTTTATTCAAGGGAATACTTTACGTAGTCATTTATCACGGTTCTCTCATTTTCAATGTGGAACAAGTTTCTCAAATCTTCTTTGGAAGAAGCTACTAGGTTTAAAAACAACCAAAACCAAACTAATTTTTATTCGATAATTCTCATCTAGAGAGGGGAGGCTACATGAATCAATCTTAACAAAACAAAGCAATACAATCTTTATTTCTAGATTTGATACATCCAGTTTAGTCTAAATTGACGATGATCATATATGTATTATGATCATTTCTTATTCTGCTCCAATCATGCCACGTGTAGCTAGCGAGTATCATCATGATTCTTGTAGAATGTAGATGAAGGTGAAGATGATTGATACAATTTTTTAAGAACAATAATGGTAAGCCCTGTTTTTCTCAATCTTATTCTGAAGCTCTTCCTTTCTGACTCCTGTAGCCTTGTCAACTACTCTCCCTTTCTTTATTAATATGAATGTCGGCATTGCCTGCACCCCATATTCTTGAGACACATCCTGCAATTCATTCATTCATACCTATTAGCAGCACTTCATTTTTCACAGAGAGAGAGAGAGAGGCAATTTAAAGAGAAATACCATTAACTCATCCACATCTATCTTGATGAACTCAACTTCTGTGTATTTAGCAGCAAATTCATCAATGGCTGGTTCCATGAAGCGACAAGGCACACACCATGAGGCAGTGAAGTAAATAACCATCTTCATTTCAAAACAAAACCCCAAAAAAATAAAGAGATTAGCAGACCCAAAAACAAGATTTGATTGTAAATTTCAGAGGAAAAAAAAAAGAGAGAGAAGTTGAATGGGTGGTTAATTACCAGTTTGGAAGTTGCTTTGGAGGCTTCAAAATGGGCTTTCCATTTTGATGGGGAATGAAATGCAAGAACTTGAGAAGTTCTCATTGATGAAGTCTGCATCGACACCAATGACGACGTCGACGACGATCTTCTAACATGCTGCATTGTAGAAGGAAATTGAAACTTTGAACGAAGCTCTCTCTTGTTGTTGTCACTGAATTTGATCTTTTGACAGAAGGTTTTTGGCTTGGAGTTTGATAGTTGGTGGGAAAGCTCTTTATATAGAATTGATGATAGTGGAGAGTAGAGAAGTTTTAAATGTGAACTGTTTTTAAAATATGAAGTGGAGCACAGGATTCTTGTCATTGACATTGGTCCTTTTATTTTTTAACGGTTGAAGTTTAATTTGGAGTGTCTCTCCAAATTTATATTAAAAAAAAATGATATAAACAAAAGTGACAAGGTGCTCTTATATAAAGGTTTACACACCTAAATGTTAAGTTACCTGTGTTTTAGTATTCAAAAATTATAGAAGTGTTTTTAAGAGAGTTGTTATTGATTTTGCTATTGAAGTGCCTTCCAATTGACAACACGACTATGCAGGTACTAATCTTCATTTTTATCGTGTATTATCATTTTTCAATCTCAAAAAACACAAGTTTTATCGAATATCTAGGTGATCTAAATTTTCACCCACAGATAAGGGTAAAAGGGTCATTTCAGATCAATTAGAAAAAGGATTCTAGTTGTGAAATAGTTGTTGGTACAAAACACCTATAATGTTAGAACTATTCGTCTTGAATTCCTTACTTAGTGGTCTTCGGGTCTTCAAAACTTGGCGATGATCTTGTCTATGTTAAATAGAAGTTTAGTGCTTCAAGTCGCGTTATTTAGTCGCTTTCCTAAAGACAATATTTGCACCCACCAAAAGATGTGTAAGAGGTTACAGCAAATTCGCCTCTAAAATACAATGAAGCATGATCTAAAGATCAAGTCTACCGGCGTCTGCACTAACGATAGTAGATCAAAATACTCTTGATATAATCAAGAAAACCAAGACACTGATAATCAAGTTTGCAGAATTTGATTACCAATAAGAAAGCAAAAACTTACCTAAGAAACTCTTGATCAAAAACTCTAAATCGAGAGAGAGAGAATTGCAGGAATACAATTTCAAATTTGAATGATGTAATGAAATGGTTGATTTTACAGCCTATTTATAGGCCTTGATGCATCTGATCGAATGGTCATGTCCCTTGATCGCATCCGATCAGATCTGACCGTTGGATTGACAATTTACGGTGCAGATCATTCTTACTCCAAAAAGATGCCTTGACTAGTTACACCTGATCACGATCGGGTGCCATCTCATTTGTACGATCACGTACATCTCCAATCAACGACTATGATTAAACCGCTCCAGATCGGACACACAACCATTCGATCGGTTGGTTGACTCATCGCCAATGGACGCCATGTCACTGCCACGTGGAGCTGACTATATTCCATGTCACCTATGCCATGTTGGATCCACGTTATTGCTCCGTGCTAAATGCAAAGTGCGCCATCAAATGCCACACAGCCCACTGCCCACCATGCGCACACGCATATGCGTGTGCAGATAGTGCGAAGCACCATCCTTGCGGTGTGAGTGCATGTACACTAGCATCCATCTATAATATCATATTCAAAGGAATATTTCATATAGCACTTTATTAAGTGCTCCATGTTTTACTCTCTTTCCAATATGGGACAAAATCCCCATGCTTATTTCATGTTTTCTAAAGAAAAATACAGAAGGTTTTGAAAACACCCAAAACTAAACAATAAATTTTGAAAACCCATTTTGAAAATTTCCCAACATTCCCCCACCATTTTTAAAATATCAGATGATGATTCTTGGTTCACTTGGCAACCTTATGCATAGGTGAAGATATCTTATGATTTGAATCATTTACTCAGTGAAAACATCTCAAAGTTAGTCAAGATGGCATAGTAGACTTGTCTTTGAACTAGTGATCTTATACGACTAACCGGACATGTCTCACGCAGAGTATATGTTACCTCAAGTATTCAAACAAACCAACACGTGGATTGGCCTTATGTCTATATCCTATTTCATGAGCGCTCTAGAGTCAAGCCCTTGGACTCATAGGAAGCAGCACCACCTCCTACACTCACATAAGTAAGCTTACTGAGAGTATCCCTGTAATTTACAGTACCCTAACAACCTAGTTAAGAGTTTGCTAACTCATCAGCCCTGTTTGGTAGAGCTGTGGGAAAGTGCTTATAGCTTATGCCTCAACAGCTTATAGCTTATAACTTTCAGCTTAAGCTAATTTCCAGCTTATTCTTAAAGCATCTCCTGCCCTACTCAAAGAATAAGCTGATTTCTGACTTTCAAAAAGCTATAAGCTAAACTAAACACATCAAAATAGCTTAAATTAAGCTGAAAGCTGAAATAAGCTGTAATTAAGCTCTGCCAAACAGGCACATCCTCTTCTTTCCGCATTATAGGTACCAAGCACTTCAACCTTGGGATGAAAATAAAAAAACTAAGTGCTTGCAATCACGACATATGGTGCACTTGGACTCATTGAACTCAAGACTTGATTCTTCTTCAAGCGTTGAATCGAGTTTCTACCATGAGTGATTATGTTAAGTGCGCTTAAGACCCATCCTCTTTGATATTTTCCACATCAAATCCCTTGCAAGTCCCTTTATTAAGGGGTCAACCAAGTTTTCACTTGACTTTACATATCTAATGGTAATCACACCTTCTATGATTAACTGCCTGACATAGCTATGTCTCAGTCCTATATGCCTGGACTTTCCATTATAGACATGGCTATAGGCCCGTGATAGAGTTGTCTCACTATCACAATGCAAAGATATTGATGGCATAGGTTTTGGCCATATCTTAATCTCTAACAAAAGATTCCATAGCCACTCTACCTAATTGCCAATGCTATAAACTCAGACGCCATGGTTGAGTCTGTTATGCATATTTGCTTCTTAGAACTCCATGAGACAGTTCCTCCTACAAGAGTAAAAATCCAACCACTCGTGGATGAGTGATCTTCACGGTCAGTTATCCAACTGGCATCCGTGAATCCTTCCAACACTGCTGGATAGCCATTATAGACTATTTCATAGTCTATTGTTTTCTTCAAGTACCAAAGTACTTGGTTAACAATATGCCAATGCACACTACTGGGATTACTAGTGTATCTACTAAGTTTTCCCATTGCAAATGCAATATCGGGTCAAGTGCAAGTTATGGCATATATCAGGCTACCTATCACTCTTGAATATTCTAGCTGATCAACAGGTCTTCCAGTATTAGGATACAATTTCAAATTTGAATCAAGAGGTGTAAACATGGATGTACAATTATATTGATTAAATTTCTTAAGAATTTTCTAAATATAGTACGACTGGGTAAAAATCAAATTATTGTCCTCTCGTTTGATCTTAATACTGAGAATTACATCAACCAAGCCCATGTCTTTCATACTAAAGCTAGATGACAAGAAACTTTTAGTACTTTCAATGGCATCATTGTCAATACCAAAAATAAGCATGTCATCTACATATAAACACATGATTACACCTCTATTGCCAGTAAACTTACTGTACACATACTTATCAGATTCATGTATCCTAAAACCATTTGTCACTATTACTTTGTCAAATTTCTCATGCCACTGTTTTGGAGCTTGTTTCAGTTCAGATAATGACTTCACGAGTTTACACACTTTGTGTTCTTGACCCTGTACAACAAATCCTTCCGGTTGTTGCATGTAGATTTCTTCA